ATCTCTATCTTGATCTCAGATGTGGATGATGCTGCTCATCAGCAGACCACACTTTGAACTGGTCTAACCTAATGAGCAAGCATGTAACTTACTGTATAGTTGAAGTGTGATAAAAAATTTGAGCATGTAACTGCTGCTGTCCCTGAATTCCTAAAGCTTGTTCAGATGAACTCTTTCTTTTCTACATCATTTGTTAAATAAGTGAAACAGTAATTTATATTTATGCTTAGTTATAAAACTATACTTGTATACTGTTATCAGAAGAACAAGGGATAATAGTAGAATCATAATCTTTTTGTCTCCTCTTAATGCTTTATCAGGATAGACTTTTCAAAATGATCTTTTAAGTTAAAAGTTTTTTTAAAAGTTTAACCATTTTTTCATCAGTGGAAAGAAACAAAACTCAAATTATATATTTATAAATAATGAAGGGTTTTTAATTGTTTTTTTTTTTTTTTTTTTTTTTTTATGATAGTCACAGAGAGAGAGAGAGAGGCAGAGACATAGGCAGAGGGAGAAGCAGGCTCTATACACCGGGAGCCCGACGTGGGATTCGATCCCGGGTCTCCAGGATCGCGCCCTGGGCCAAAGGCAGGCGCTAAACCGCTGCGCCACCCAGGGATCCCGTTTTTAATTGTTTTAAAGCTTTTTATAATTTAAAATCTGTCTGTAGGGATCCCTGGGTGGCGCAGCAGTTTGGCACCTGCCTTTGGCCCAGGGTGCGATCCTGGAGACCCGGGATCGAGTCCCACGTCGGGCTCCTGGTGCATGGAGCCTGCTTCTCCCTCTGCCTGTGTCTCTGCCTCTCTCTGTCTCTGTGACTATCATAAATAAATAATAAAAAAAAATTAAAAAAAATAAAAAAATTTTTAAAAATTTAAAAAAATTTAAAAAATTTAAAAAAATTTAAAAAATTTTAAAAAATTTTAAAAAATTTATTTATGATAGTCACAGAGAGAGAGAGAGGCAGAGACACAGGCAGAGGGAGAAGCATGCTCCATGCACTGGGAGCCCGACGTGGGACTAGATCCTGGGTCTCCAGGATCATGCCCTGGGCCAAAGGCAGGTGCCAAACCGCTGCGCCACCCAGGGATCCCCATAAATAAACTTTTAAAAAAAATTTTAAAAAAATAAAATAAAATCTGTCTGTAATCAGTTATTTAAGTATCATTGATTTTTATGTAATTCCATTTCATTTCTTGCCAGGTTGATGAGTACTTTAATACTAAGGATCATCTCTCTAAGTACTGTAATTAGTAGTAATCATATTTCTATTATAGATTATAAATTACATTAAGTTCGAAGACCAAAGATGAACTGTACAAAAAATAGATTTTTCAGTTTTACAGAAGAGGTGCCTGGCTGGCCCAGTTGGTGGAGCATGCAGCTCTTGATCTAGGGATCTGGAGTTCAAGCCCCCACGTTGGGCATAGAGCTTACTTTAAAAAAAAAAAAAAAGTTTTACATAAGTTTTAAATAAGATGATGAGAGTTTTATGAAGTGATTAGTTTTTTTGGTTCTTGTGGGGGTTTTGGAAGTGGCTTTGGCTCTTGCATTTCAAAAAAGGAGGAATCATGGGGACGCCTGGGTTGCTCAGCGATTGGGCGTCTGCCTGTGGCTCAGGGCATGATCCTGGGGTCCTGGGATCAAGTCCCACATTGGGCTCCCTGCGAGGAGCCTGCTTCTCCCTCTGCCTGTGTCTCTGCGCCTCTCTCTCTCTCTCTCTCTGTCTCAGGGCATGATCCTGGGCTGAAGGCAGGTGCTAAACCACTGAGCCACCCAGGCATCCCCTAAAACTTCTCTTAGAAAATTGTCTTAACGAGTGTTAAGTCCCTTGCAATAGAACTGTTTTCTCTGTATTTCACTCATAGGAAAAGAGGTCCTCCCATAGGAAACCAAGGGGTAATAGATGGACCTGAGGGTTGGAGAGAAAGTTATTTGGGCGGGACCTTGGACAAATCTGAGAGGTGAAAATTGAAAATGATCTTTTTTTTTTTTTTAAATGATCTTTTTTAACCCTTAGGTATCCTTATCATGTAGAGGATTTTTTTTTTTTTTTTTTTTTTTTTTAGCCAACTACTTTTTTGTCGACAGTCTTAGAGATGGCCTTGGTTCAGCTTTATTCACGTGTACAAAAGATTTATTTTCTCTTCTTTGGTAGTGTCAGTGGAGGCAACTAGAAAGGAAGAATCCCCTAAGTGTGGTGAATGAAGAGCAGGCAATTATATACAATACAAACTATTGAGGATTATATTTTTTTCTAAGCTTTCTATGGAAGATGTTAATAAAACTACTTGTACAAGAAGTGTTCTGGGGTTATATAATTAAGAGAAAGAAAGTAAAGCAAGTTTTTAATAAAGTGTGTGTGTGTGTTTGAAATTTTGAAATGCTCATTGCATTGTACATGTAGTATGGGAAGGTATAAAATACAGCATTTCCCGAATTAATTTAACCATCAAACTCTTAATCTGTATTCTTACCAACACCCAGGAGCATGTTATGAGTGTCACAGTTTATAAAATTCTACTGTAAATCAGTGGACAGTCTAGTTGGAAGGAATTGCTTACTTGTATGAAAGGAAAGAACTTTTGCTGCTTTGTGTTATCTAAGTAGTAAAGCATTTCTCAGATACTCAGATTTAATAAATTAGATGCAAATTAGTCATCTTCTGTGACTTGACAAGCATGAACTTTACATAGATGTAATAAACTGAGTAGCTGTCTTTTGGTTTTGCTTTGACTAAACTAACTTGTTAAACATCTGTGATTAAGTGTATAAAACACTGCTCTCAATAGAACTTTCTGCAGCTATGGAAACGTTCTGTCTCTGTGCTGTCTTGTGTAGCAGCCAGTAGCCACCAGCCACATGTGGTTATTGAGCATTTGAAATGTGCTAGAATGACTGAGAACTGAGTTTTTAGTTTTATTTCATTTTCATTCATTTGAATTTAAACTTTTGCATGTGACTATATAGTCTGCAGAATATATTTGTAGACTAGAACATTTTTCGTACTATTTATTTTAAATTGATGTGATTAAAATGAAATTACCTTTTTTGGAAAAGTTCATAGTATGATGAATATATTTAAACAATATATATGCATGTAATTCTGTAGCCACATGACTGAGAGGTCTCTTCTAATGGTTTTACACTCTTAAAAAAGTGTAAAATCTAGCTATTTTACTAGCTACATATCAGGAACATAAATACTCCTTTGTCGTTTTTATTTCATTTATATAACTAACACTACATTCTGAAATAATCAAATAGGTTTTCACATTCAGTTTTAAGAAAAGAATGATAATGTGAAGGAAAAAGATCTGTGAAATAAGAGATCTCAAATGTAGTTCCATTTGCCAGTGGCATGCTTGGCAGTATTAAGGCAATTGTTAAAGTTTTGTGGCTATTGGTTTATCTCTAAGTTGGAGATACAGTTTATGTAAATGTCTTTTGAAAAAGTTGTATGACAGTAATTCCTCTTATAAATGTAATTGTGAAATAATTATGAAACATATCAGAAATTTCACTCATTTTCTGTGAATGTACTTTTGAATTTTAAACATTGTGATCCTTAATCATTTGATCTTTGACAAGAGTAATGCTTATACTTGGTAGAAAAATAAAAGTAAATGAGGCATATAAATTCTCAAAATAAAAGTTTGATAAAGATAAACTGATAATTGAACAATTTTAGAATAGTTGATTATTAAAGTTATGACTGCTTGGTGGAGGGGGTGATAAATTTTTTCAGTGAAATTTGACTTATCTAGGCCTGAACTTAGGAAATTTTAATAACTTAGTTCTTTGCAGGCAGCTCATTTAATATAACAATATCCCTTATTCTTGAACTTGTCAACTGAGTAAACTGTTTTGCTCTCTGTTACTACTAAATACCTTCACTTTGGTATTTGAACTGGTTAACCAGTTTATTTGTGTTTTTATTCAACTAGCATTTAATTGTTGGTTTCATTTTGGAATACTGTTATTTTTAAGAGGTGGTAATTCAAAAAGTTGTTCATAAATATTTTGAATTGTATAAAGTAGAGCTGATGTCTTCTTCATAAGAAGTCATGGAGCATCACCTCAACATAAGGATTATTATTATTATTATTTTAGTATTCAATAAAGTAATTTTTAAAGCTATATATAATTATTGTATTAATCATCCTTAGTCTGTATTCAGTTGTTTTTGCTTTCCCTAATTTGTATTATACTAAGAGTTTTCTCATATCTTGAAGATGATATTTTATAACAACTCCTGAATAGTCTTAACTATTTGATTTAGTGTTTTGTGTTACAATGGGTATAGTGTCTATTACTGGTTAAATTATTGGAAATGAGGTTTTTGGTAAAAACAATTCTCTTTTCTGACATGTAGCTGAAGTTCTTTCTTAAAAAAGATGTATTGCTTCAGATTACAGTAAGTTTATTCAGTTTAATGTTTTTCATTTTTAGAATTTTATATTTTCATTTAAAGATGCGGAATGTTTTTCAAAAAAGATTATTATTGCTAACACTGTTATCTGAGTATAGGAAGAATAATACAATCAGCCCTTTATCTTGTTAGATTTTGACATGTAGGTCATATGTAATCCCACTGCTTCTGAGCTAGTTCTGTTAATCTCATTTCCATCTATTTTAATTAGTAGAAATGCCATTTTATATTTATTTGGCATTTCTCTTTAAAAGCACCAATATGTATATCTTCATGGTTCTCTTTGATAGTTTCAAGTTATTAATGTTAATATCAGAAAACCAATGTTTTGAATACTATCACTTGGATATATCATAGACTGATCATATCTAATTCAGAATATGACAGTGTTTTAAGCCTTTTACAGGTCATGAAAATCTTAGCATTTAAGGGATTTCAGTATTTAGTATAACCCTTTAACTGGTATGTGCTAATATTTTGAAATATGTTTGAATTGCTGTGAGATTAAGGAGTAGAGATAGAGTTCCTTATTTTATTATTTTTATTATTCTTCTTCTAATTTAAGACACCTAGCTGTTGGGCAGAAGAGGGAGCAGAAAAAAGGTCACATCAGCGTTCTGCATCATGGGGGAGTGCTGATCAACTCAAAGAGGTAAGTTATTGCTGTTTTCAGCTATAACCTGTTTTAATCCCAGCAAATTATCTTACTGTTTCCTGAATATAATGATATTTTCTTTATTTGTATTAACCTTACCTCTTTCAGAGTCTAAGGCTTGCCTTCCAGGTTTGGGTGAACAAGTCTAAGTTTACTTTACTTGTGCCCTTCATATCATTTATAAATATTTGTTATGTACACATTCAGCTTGAGCCTTTTCAGAGTGAAGTCTGGTTTTTCTGTAAGTCTCTATATCTTGTTCCCTTTAGCTATCTTCTGTTTCTGCTTCAGCTTTCTTGTTTTTGAAAAGTTATAGCAACCAGAACTCTAGATCATAGATTTGTACAATGGTAGGATACTGTTTTCTGCTTCTAATAGCTTTTTTGTAATATCCAACATATTGTTGCCCTTTGAGATTCAGTAGTGCAGTAGAACCCATGTGTTTTAGGAATACTTTTTATGACTCTTTCCTTTATTATCAAAACTTAAATTATGATCATCTTTATTTATACTTGGGATTATTTTTCATGATTGTGTTATCTTTTATCCACTTAAATTCTTTTATAAAATTATTTTTATAAACTTACAGAGTTGAAAGATCATCTAGCTCATCTCCTAAGCAAACACTTCTTAAAAATGTGGTCATCTAGTCTGTTATGATCATTCTCAGTGAGAGAAGCTCATCACTTTACAAAAGGACCAAATGAGTTCAGTTGTTTTAGCTTAAGTTATTAAATAGTTTATTGAGCTCAGAGTTATTCCCCTGAATTTGATTCTGCCTTTTGTATCAATATTGAGTAAGTCTACTTTCTTTCTTTTTCACTGGCATTACAAGTTTGTATTTGGAATTTAATCCACAATCTACAAGTTATTTACAAGACATGAAAATGGAAAACAGCACAAAATACGATTGAGGTATAAGCTGAGAGCACAGTATGTCATGTTTCAATAAATATGATTCAAAATTTGTAAACTAGTGACCAGATAGATGAGTCTTGTTTTATAGTAAAATTATATAAAATATTTTACATCGGATAGAGGACAGTTTAATGTGTCATGTGATGTGTAAGTCTACTTTAAGTATTTGAAAGACTAGCAACATGTCTTTTTTTTTTTTTCAGGCTAAAGATTGACTTTTCTCTCAAGTACTTTTCATATGTCATAATTTCCTTACCTCTTAGTGTTATTTTCATATACTGTAGGTTTATCAGTATCTCTCAAATACTGTGAGATATTCAGTCTAGACTGAATAGATATAGTCTGTTAGCCTGATTTCACCTGCGACCATATTATATTTTTAGTAGCTATTTTATTGCTATAGAGAAGTTCTCAACTTTTCTATATACCCTGTACAAAAGCACATATGCCCAAGTTGAGTTTTTCCCAGAAGCAACAAAAAAGAAAGGAAGCTAAGACACTATTATGTCTAGTCTAAAATAGTTGCACATCTGTGCATAGAATACGAATAACAAAAAAGTGAACTTAAAGTTTTATCTCAGAGGTAAATATACTCTCAAAGTTATAGTCAAGATTTGGTGTAGTTAAATTTTGGACTACAGCAGCATGTAATACATGCTATTAATACAGAAATGTCTGAGGTGACTGAGAGATGTTTGCTCACTTTCTCCACAAAGCAACCATAAAGCTGTACAAAACTGCCAAAATAACTAATTCACTGGTCTGGAAATCAACCAAACAAATTGAGAAATTTTTTTCATGAAAAGCATTGAACTCAGAGTCTTAAGAACAACACAGATTTGTGGTGTTACCTGGTGCTACTCATCTCCTCTTCCTCATCCCCAGCTTTGTTGGTATGGCATTTCCCTTTAAAAAGGATGGGGCAAGCCTTTAAAACTGGAAGCTTTGTAGCTGGAGAGAGAGTACTTGATAGGAAATATTGTAGATTAAAATAGTAACCTTAGTTGCAAACAAACAGCCATTGGTCCCTATCAATGGCTTCCCTAGTCTAAGATATGGTTCAGTTTGTGGCAAATAATAGACTTGTGAAGTAGCAGGATTTTATAGAGAGTTCTAGGGGTTAAGATAGTCATGGGGGATTGATAAATTCATGACATATCACAGATTGACTGAAGACTGTAGATAACAGCAGAAAATGAAGTGGGTGTAAGTTATCCATGTGTCATTGTTCAGTGGAATCTAGGAAATACATGGAGAGGAGATTCAAGCAGGCCTAATGGTAATAAAATTTGGGGCCATCTTTTGAAAGGCTCAGACTTTGAATGTACTCTTCATTCTACACACAAATCCCTTCCTGGGAGTGGAAGCCTTACTGGATTGAGATAGTTGAATAAAATCTCTGATCAGTCTTCAGCCAAACACTATGGTGAACACTGGAGACCAGCTTGAAAAGGTCTTAAAAAGCCAGACTTAAAAACAAAAATGGGATCAGGGTGAATGGAGAGGAGGAGACATCAGTGGCCACACAGTGCAGGAGAAATAGACTTATCAAGATACTAAAACACAGATAAGACAACAATCACCAAGGAAAATCAGAATCTAGAATTGCTACAATGCAATGTTTATAAAGTGTCCAATATTCAACAAAAAATTTAGAGATATGCAAAGAAACAAAGTATGACCTATACTTAAGAAAATCACTAGAAATTATGTCTGAGTTTCTCCATATGTTGGATTTACCAGACAAAAACATTAAAGCAGCAATTAGAAGAATGTTTAAAAAGCCAGAGAAAATGGTGTTTAAGGCATTAAAAGGACAGTCACTCAGTAAATAAGGAATTTCCACAAAGAGATAATTACTGTAAAAGAGAAACAAACAAAAACTCTAGAGTTAAAAAGTTTAGTAACTAAAAGTTCACTCAGTGGGCTCAATAGCAGATTTAAGATATCAAAAAAGAATTTGTGAATTTGAATATAGGTCAATAGAATTTATATACCTTGAAGAATAGAGAGAAAAAGATTGAGGGAAAGTCCATAGAGCCTCCAAGACCTGTGAGAAAACATTAAGTAGATACACATAAACATAATGGGATATCAAGGAGAGGAGAGAGAGGAGTTTAAAAAAAATATATGAAAAAATAATGGCAGAAAACTTTCCAGATTTAATGAAAAATCCCAAGTTGGAAAACACAAAGAAAACCCATGTAGACATAACATAGTTAGATTGTTGAAAGCCAAATGGAAAAGAGAGAATCTTGAAAGCTGGAAGAAAAAAAAGACTTATTACACATAGGGGATTGAACTAATAATATCTTTAATGGAGGACTTCTCATCAGAAACAGTAGAGATGATAAAACTTGACATATTCAAAATGTCAAAAGAAAAAATTGTCAAATTGCCTGCTGCTAGACGGTCTTATACTGTCTAAAGGAAATTCTTCAGGCTAAAAGGAAATGACTCCAGATGTTAATTCAAATTCATAGGAAGAAATTAAGGGTGTCAAGTACGATAATTGTTTGGATAAATATAAAAGAGTCTATAGATATATTTTTCTCACTTTCCACATTTAAAACGTATATAATCATATAAAGCAATAATTATAATACTGTTATATTGGGCTTATGACATATGTACATGAAATATACATATGGCAAAATACAAAAAAAAAGAAAAACTGGACATGTACTAGAATAGTTTCCATTTTTGGAATTACTGTTTTGAGGTAGTGTGATAAATTAAGATATAAATTATAGTCCCTAGAATAATTGCTAAGAAAGTAACTGAAAAAAAATAGAAAGTAAAAAACATTAGAGGGATTAAAATGGTACACTAAAAGTATTTGTCACAAAAGAAAGTAATAAAGGAGGAATAGGGGAATAAAAAAAGGTGTAACCAACAATAGAAAATAACAGGGACACCTAGGTGGCTCAGTGGTTAAGTGTCTGCCTTCGGCTCAGGGCTTGATCCCAGAGTTCCGAGATCAAGTCCCACAGTGAACTCCCTGCAAGGAGCCTGCTTCTCCCTCTGCCTATGTCTCTGCATTCTCTCTGTGTCTCTCATGAATAAATAAATAAAATCTTCAAAAAAAAAAAAACAAAAAAATAACAGTGGCAAAAGTAAATCCAACCATATAATTAATTACATTAAATATGAATGGACTAAATGTTCTCCTCAAAAGGCAAAGATGGTCAAACTGGATAATAACACTCAGCTATATATTGTCTATAAGAAGCATACCTAATTATAAGAAAGATTAACTGACAGAATAGACTTTAAGACAAGAAATATTAAAAAAAAAGACAAGAACTATTTGACCTATTACTGAGGTCAAAGACATTTATTTCATTAAGATAAAAAGGTCAGTACATCAGTAGGGCTTAGTAATCATAAATTATGTATACATCTAACAATGATCCCCGTATACATGAAGTGAAATTGTGAAAGGAGAAATAAAGTTTCTACAATAATAATTGGTGATCTCAATATCCCATTTTCAATACTTGATAGAACGACTAACTAGACACAAAATAAGAAGATAGGGACGTCTTGGTGACTCAGTGGCTGAGTGTCTGCCTTCAGCGAAGAGCATGATCATGGGGTGCGGGATCAAGTCCCCCTTGGGCTCCTTGCAGGGATCCTGCTTATCCCTCTGTCTATGTCTACCTCTCTGTCTCTGTCTCTGATGAATAAATAACTAAAATCTTAAAAAAAAAAAAAAAAAGGCAAGAAGATAGAAGATTTCAACAACAATATCAATCAACTTGACCAAACTGACATACAAAGAAAATTCCAGCCTGTGACTACATTCTTTTCAAACATATGGGAAACATTCTCTAGGTTAGATATGTTTGCCAGTTGCCCATAAAACAAGTCTGAATAGAGTGCAAAAGATGTAATCATGTAACAGAAATCTTAGAAAGCCCCAAATATTTGTCAGTTAAAAACACAAAGGAAATTTTAAAATATTTAATGAATGAAAAAAAAAAGACAACTTAGAATTTGTGTGTGCAGATAAGGTAGTGCTTCATGGAAAATTTGTATACCTTTATATGCATATCTAAGAAAAGGAGAAAATTCTT